AGGATGGAGAAAAAAAACCCAGCAACTCCACAAAACTGAAAGTATGAGAGGAGAAAAACAAGGAAAGGAAGGACTTACTGTCAGTGAGCAATCTACTTTCCACAATTCCACACACCCTGGAATATTTAGAAATTACATTTCATCTTTCGCGTGGGACTACATAGCTCATATGAGTGTAATGGTATCTTATCTATTTAAAAAAAGTCTTAAATAATGGTTGAATTTTCTTTGAAGACCCTTATTATATTTTTCTCATTAAATGGATGTTATATTCCCATTATTTTCATCCCTTCCCATTTTTCAAGGGAGAATTAAGGCCTGAATTAAATAAAAGAGATGTTATTGTGCAGACATATTTTGGAAAAAAATCTTAAATAATGGTTGAATTTTCTTTTAAGACCCTTATATTTTTCTCATTAAATGGATATTATATTCCTATTATTTTCATCCCTTCCCATTTTTCAAGGGAGAATTAAGACCTGAATTAAATAAAAGAGATGTTATTGTGCAGACATATTTTGGAAAACATACTGTTTAATGTGAATATCAGTATGTGTTAGTTTCACATTTACAGAGAAATTTCTTTTCCTCCCCCCCTTCTCCAACACTCCATTGTATTCTTTGACCTGTATAGAGCGAAACTGTACAGTTTTCTTCCCAGAGTTCCTTTTATGTATCAAACATCTTTTTGCTTGTGCATTTGCTTGATTTTACATTTATCTTTCTCAGTGATTTATGGATTATGGATTTAGTACGCTCAGGAGACAGACAAAAAATTCTTCATATTGTTAGAGAGTATATTATGCATAAAGCATAATCAGTACAAGTATTTTCTTAACTGTATTTTAAAGCACTGTTATTGTTAGAGCAATTAATTACCACAATCTTCATAGACTTTACAGCCTAAAGGAATATTCTAAACCCCTGTCTGATCCTAACCCTTCTAAAATCCTCCTTTATATAGAGGCACGTCACAACCTGTACCATGTAGATGGGATGAAGAAGAATTCCTCATAGTCTTGTCAGATTGGCAGAGTGGATTGGGGAGCGGGGGTTGGTTGCTGAGTGCTCCAAATGTCAGAATGCTTTTGAAGCCAAAGAGAAAATTAGATCCATTGGGTTTTGTTTTTTATTTTACATCACAAGAGGGAAAATTGATCTTATGGGCAGGAGACATACTCTCCTCTGTGCTCTATGTATTGTTATAGCATAAGAATGTAATTACTGCTAAATCCCTTTTGGAGAAAACCTTCACAGCATGGCGAGGTTAAGACTGTGTTGTAAACCAGCCTTACTTTTTGGCACCTTTTTTTGCCTTAGGCTGTATCTATTTTAAATATCTATGCATTTTTATACAAGGAGAAAGTGATAAGAAACCCACATAATGTGCTATATGAGGTCTGAAAGGGCAGAGATTAATTTAGAAGCTTATGATTAAGAGAAAATGTTTCAGTCTTTTTCCTGAAGTTTTTTTTCCCCCTTTGTAATTGAGTTTCTGACAATGTGGTTTT